TAACTGATTTTCTCCAATACATCTTCTAGTTTAGTAAAATTATCTTGGTCTCCCATGTATTTTAGAAGTATAGGTAGATCTTATCGTTCCGCATATCTTACTTGTAAAACTATATTGAGTATATTATTATTGTACAAATATATCATCTCTAGTTTTATTTTATTCTTACTCAAGTCTCTCTAATTAAAGTAACCTTCTAAGAGACGCGAAGATTAATAAGTTAGTCTAACTCTTATTTGCATCGTTTTCTTTTAAACTTCGTTGAGAAAATCAAGCAAAACAACAAAAATATTGTAACAAGGATTATTTTTGTCAAAGTCAAACTTCTCTATAACAGCCTCGTTTGCTCCGATATTTTTTGGCTGCTATAGTGAGGTGTTGTTATAAAGAACATATATTATAACATAACATAAAAATCGGTTCCGAAAAGCCTTGACTTTTATAGTGAATGGTTGTTATATAAAGATATTGTTATACAAAAGTTTGACTGTGTGCAAAAATTTGGGCTAACCATATGATATTGGGTGTACCGGGCTATTCTTTTAATCATTTAATGTTTGAAATTTATTGTCTTAATTAATCTAAATTCATACTTAGTAAGTAGAAGTGCTCTCTATTAAGATTTTCCCTTACCCTTACTAACTCATTTGGCCATAGATTTTGTCAAAATAAATTTGGGTTTTATTTGGCAAACACATGTTTGGCTATAGATTTTGCCTATATTTTGGCAAAATCCCAAAACCAGCTCAATAGCTGGTTTTGGGCCAAAATATCACTATTATATTTTTAAAAATTATCCCAAACTTTTGTATTTTATAAAAGAGCCCATCATTTATTATTTTGTAACAATGTTACTTCGTCTTCTCGGTCACCTGATAGTGTATCATGTAGTTCATTATAAAAATGATAATTTTGTATCAAATTTATTTATGTTCAGGACTATGATTTGCGATAATATAATGAATGTTATTGATAATGGTAATATTGGGTATTTGTGATAGTTTTTAGAACTTGTGGGTATAAGTCATGTTTCATATTTTTTCAAAATAAATTTGGGAAATATGTTTTGAAAACTGATGTCCAAACACATTTTATCTTCAAACCAAACTTCACCAAATCAGATTTTTCAGAACAAATTTGGAAATCTATGATTATTGACAAAATATCAGTTGGGACCTACTTAATTTTCAAATTGCAAATTCCTTTGACTCTCTTATTAATACTAAACATTATAGCTAAGGTACAACTAACAAGCCTAATTTATGAGAGACAGAACCCCACAAGCAAACCCTTCTTCCCTTGTCCTCAAAAGGTTTTGGTAGATGGAATGCCACGTATATCACATTAATAAATGAGTAGGCTTTAAAAATGACCAGACAAGTTAGCTTTATTTTCCAACTCTTTTTTTTGTAACGGTAATCTGTGAAGGTATCATTTTGCTGCTCTAATTTAAAGTAAGTCAAAATGGGAAGTCAAATTTAGAGCCCAAAACCAAGTACTTTGAGACCAATAATTAGCTAAGATTCTTAATTGTGGTAATGTTTGTTAGTACATGTAAGAATGTCGATTACCCTTACAGGAAATTTTAGCCATCATTCCCTAAAGGTAAATATGCACTATGAGTAATTTTAGTATGTTTGACTGTTTCTCAACCAACGACTTTGAAAATTTTCAAACTAAAGCATAAATGCATAATGATGGATGCAAGTTCGGAGGGGAACTGTTCATCTCCTTTATTATAGTAATTAAAAATTCGTATTAATTGCTTATTTGTTTTTATCGAGTGCGACTTCTGTTATATATTTTTTTTAAAGGAAAAAAAGGAAAGGTCTAATGAATCGAGTCATAGAGCGGGTCTATAATAGTTTTAATTGATACAATCACGCCCATCTATAAGGACATCCCTATATAATAATTATTTACTATAAAAATTGAGTTTTTGCTCGAAATCAATTATTATGTTATGTTATATTATATGTCCTGTATAACAACACTTTACTATAGTAGTCAAAAAATATCGGAACAAACGAGGTTGTTATAGAAAAGTTTGATTGTATTTCTTTTTCATTTTATCCTTTTCCAATTCCATTCATTTTTTACAAATTATATTTTTCTTTTCTCCTTATGTGGTCGCGATCGCATAAAAGGAACTTTCGGCAGTGGAGCTTAGTGCTTCGGATCGCGTGAGCTAGGGAATAGCGGTGTGTAAATCGCTAGCAGAAGTACTTTAAGTCCAAATTTTGGAATTTAGCTCATTCTCAATATTTTTGAGTTTTAAAGAACGAGAGGAGAAGATTTTGAAGAGGATTTCTTTACAATCTTGAGGATAAGTAATTTCTACTTGGTTTTGATCATATATCTTGATTCCGCATGGATTGCTATACCTAAAACATAAAATTTTAAAGTGAAATATAAACATTTTGTCTATAACTTAAGTGAGTATATTTTGAGATTTTGAATACTGATTTGGGCTCGGATTTGGAGACTAATCATATATTTAGACTCGTGGGGTTATGGATCAACAGGATCTAGTCCTATACTCGATTTTTAACCATGTTGGCCTTTTGAGAATTGATTAAAGATTGAAATCTCATTATTTGGAATTAGTTTTTATGGCTTTATTTGACCCCATTAAGTATTATTTGGCTAGATTTGAGCCGGTTGAAAAAATTTCTAAAGAAAGAGCGGTTGTGGAAGGTTGAAGCGGTACCAGGAAGAAGTAAGTCTCTTGGCACCCCTTGTTAAGAGACAATTCACCTAAAATGGACTTAATTGCTATGTGTTACTTGAGTTGAGGAATAATGTATATGCGATATGATGAGCGTATATTCACGGACCAAGGCTATACCATGTTTTGGAGTAGTTTAGGTTTCTTTATGTCTTGTTTGATTATGTATTCTTCTGATACGTGATTTATTTTGTTGTATAGCTATGTGGGCTTTTTTTATTCATACCATACTCCCATGAGCATATACATTCACATATTTATTTCTTATATCCTTGTGCAGTGTACCTATATTATATCACACGCATATGCATACATCTCTGCATATGGATTCAGTTATATAATCGGAGTTATCACATGATGGTACATTTCTATGCGGGTTGATGTTATTATGGTACTGTGAGATATTTTGGCACATTGAGACATATGAGCCAATTGGCGATACTGATTATTGAGCTATTGTAATATTGACACTTGGATATGGATCTGTCCCGCAGGATTCAGGTGATCACCCATGTTACTTTAAGCCTTGTGAGTGTCAAATGCGTGAGTTGTGTTTGTGAAGGGCATTTATGCCATGCACACGTACAATGCTGAGTGCGTGTGGGTTGATACTGATTTTTGGGAAAAGTTGAGTTTTGA